GACACAGCCTCGGGTATGGCAGGAAATATATTTTTTTATTGCGTTTCACATAATGTTTTTCGTGGTTTATGGATGGCCTTGGAGTCATTATATATGTATATATGTGCTCACAACTTTACTTGTAATATCGCAGTTAGCTGTTAGTATTTCTTTCTGCGTAACAAATTACTTGTAGCGCTTTAATGTAAGCAGACATCCTAATCAACTAGCTGTTTCTCCACACCCCTGTTCATTCGACTAAGCCATCGTAGCATTGCTGATTTCAATTAAAAACGTGTTTTCAATTCATATCAGTAACAATTGCTTTATGTTCTTTTCATCACCCCCACTGCAGCATAGTGTTCTCTCGATCAATGCGCTGATTCGAATTCTTAGATGGCTAGAATAACCTTTCCCTTTCTGTGGTCTTTTGAACTGCAAGTACAATTCTGACAAAAATTCTATTTCTTATGGTATACTAGTCGGGGTGGAATAACCCGTTGAAACATAATCTATTATCTGCCCAAAGGCTTTTATTACCATTTTTGCTTTTTTTTATGACATAAGAGTACAGGCTTAGTGCGAATACTTTGGAATGCAAAAGCATGCCACAATGTAATGGCTACTAACAGTTGTCTGGCTGACTCATTTTCCGACAGTCAGTAATGTGCGTCATTCCGTCCTTATTCAGGCCTGCAGTCCTTGTTCCATCCCTACAGAGCTTGTGTGTATGGTTCAGTGATGGCAAAATTTTCCCAGCGTAAAGTAACTAAATGGACCGAGTTTCAGACTACAGTCCTTGCGGCCGGGAGTTCACTGATGACTGTCAGTACGTCTACCTGTCTTTTTTCTCGAAATTACTACTTCTCTCCGCCTTTTGCGGAACGACGCTGAGCGGGGGAGAGAGGGGAGAACTTACATTCCTGGTAAGGGTATTCGATTTAGGGCGCATATAGGTCATCGGGTGGAATATAGTTCCAGTTATTATTATTTCGGAGATCGATTTTAGGTGGTACTTTTTTGGAATTCCTCATAACTCTGGAGTAAAAACCACCACACTTGCATAATATAGCTGAGATTTTGTGTTCTGTTTCCAATGTGTCCCAACCCAACACTAACTGTAGGACAAACCTTAACGGAAATCTTATTTTTACCTCTTGCCTTTGCCGGAACCATAAATTGCTTGGACGTTAACGCAAAGGCATGCGCATCCCTGGCGGGTATATAAGCGTTTCCTGCAATACTCCTTCCTTTATAGTCGCCAGTGAGAGGGGGAATGTATGCATGGAACTGCCTCTAGGTCGTACATTTGAATGCATTTTATAGCATTTCCTCTCTGGTTAACTGATTTACCATCAGTTATACTAAGCAAGAAATCCGCTTTAGCTAATTGTAGTAGTGCCTCCTCAGTACAAAATAATTACAGTTAACTTAGACAGTGTCTTTCTGACATCAAATAATCAATACTTTCGAGGGCATCTCTGACCTATATGTTGTGAACAGTTTGTAATATCCTAGTTCCAGGTGAGATATCTTGGGCATTTGAATGAGGTCTACCTGACCATCGAGTTGCATGGTCTGCCAGTGGTCTGCCTCCAGTCCTTGCTTTATCGGCGTCCATCGTTAATAGGCCAATTTCCGCCGTGACAGTATTATTAGGAGGTTTGGCCGATTTGCTTGATTTGAGTTGACTCAATTGTGAAAAATCCGAGACGTTCGGCGGGATTTGAACCCGCGTAGTAGAGAAGGCCTCAACCGGAAGCCAACGCTCTAAC